TATAAACAGCTCATATAACTCAACATCAAAAAGACAAACAATCCAGTTTAAAAAATGGGTAGAAGACCTAAATACACATTTTCCCAAAGAAGACATACAGATGGCCAATAGGCACATGAAAAGATATTCAACACACTAATTATTAGAGAAATGCAAATCAAAACCACAATGAGGTATAACCTCACAGCTGTCAGAACAGCTATTATTAAAAAATCTACAAATAATAGCAAATTTTGGCAAGGATGTGGAGAAAAGGGAACCCTTGTACACTGCTGGAAATGTAAATTGGTGCAACCGCTATGGAAAACAGTATGAAGGTGTCACAAAAAAACTAAAAATACTACCATATGATCCAGCAATTCCACTCCTGGGTATATATCCAAAAAAATAAAAACTAACTGAAGAAGATACATGCACCCCAATGTTCATAGCAGCACTATTTACAAAAGCCAAGATATGGAAGCAACCCGTGTCTATCAACAGGTGAGTGGATAAAGATGTGGGGTGTGTGTGTGTGTGTGTGTGTGTGTGTGTGTATACATACACATATATATGTATTCATACACACATGCACGCGCGTGTGCGCACACACACACACACAATGGAATATTACTCGGCCATGAAAAAGAGTGGAATTCTGCCATTTGTAACAACGTGGATGGACCTAGAGAGTATTATGCTGAGTGAGATAAGTCAGACAGAGAAAGACAAATACTGTATGTTAGTGGAATCTAAAACAATAAAATAAACAAATGTAGGGACTTCTCTGGCGGTCCAGTGGGTAGGAATCTGGGGGCATGGAATACAGGGGGAATACAGGGGGCATGGGTTTGATCCCTGCTTGGGGAACTAGATCCTGCATGCATGCCACACCTAAAAGATCCCGCATGCCGCAACTGAGACCCGGAGCAGCCAAAATAAATAAATAAATAAATTTAAAAAATAATAATAAGTTTTTAAAAAATAAATGAATGTATATAACAAAAAAGAAACAGACTCACAGATTTAGAAAATAAACTACTGGGTACCAGTCGGGAGAGGGAATGGGGGGGAGGGGTAAAACAGAGCTATGGGATTAATAGATACGAACTACCTTTTATAAAATTATTTTGTAATAACTTTAAATGAAGTATAATCTATAAAAATGTTATGAATGACTACGCTCTACACCTGAAACTAATATAATATTGTAAATCAATTAAAAAAAAAAAACTTCTCAGGAAAATTCTAGCCAAAATATAAAGTTTTATACTAAAAAAAAAAGGATAATTCTTGTAATGTAAAAATAGCTTTTAAAAAATTGGAAGCAAACTGAACACCCCCAAATTAGAGAATAATGCACGATTATTTAAAAACATTTTAAAATGTTTTTAAAGCAGTTTAAAGCATGTGGAGAAGATGTGCATTTAATGTAAGATATAAACATGCCTATACAGAATGATGCTGATCTTGCAACGGGGTGTGTGTGTGTGTGTGTGTGTGTGTGCGCGCGCGCGCACATGTGTGCATATTCAGGAAAATACTGGAAGGAAATCAATATACATAAATATTAACAGAGCTTTGGGTGATGGAATCAGAGGTAATTTTTATTTCATCTTCTACATTTTTAAAAAAGTTTCATTACAAGTTAGTCAGAAAAAATTTTAAATACCATATAAACCATTTGGAAGAGTGACCCACTGCTTTAGCAACAGGTCTTCACACAAGTCAAGGCCACCACCGACTTCGAATTGTTGCTGCTAACCTACATTTCAAGGTCCACACCCATAAAAAGCGCCTTCCGGCCCGCTTGGGCTCTTACACCTCGGCCTGCTCCATCCATGTCGCCTTGTCTTCCCCTCCAAACCTTTTTTCCTCTCGGATTTCATTCTGTGGTGATCGATACCAACTAATAACCTAAGCCACTAACCTTACTTCACATTTTCCCCATTTTCACCTCGCTAATCTCTCTGGAATCCACAGCCATCGATGTCCGTCCAGGGCAGCCCTGTGATCTTTCTGAAGGGTACATCTGGCCTCGTTACCCTCCTAGGTGGACACCTTCAGGCAAACACGGCACAGCGCATTAGACCCCTCTATCAGTGATTCCTTCTGCTTCACCTTCTCTCATCATTCCTTTCCCCACACCCTCCACCATACCACCTATTGCTCTGAGCCTGTGCCTACACTGTTCCTCCTGCCTGAAGCCCTCACCACCACGTCTGCCTTCCTGGTCCAGCTAACTCCTTGAAGGCTGTCCTTTAAGGGTGAATTCAGACACCGCCTCCGCTGGGAAGACTCACGGATGGTGGCTGAGTGTTATGAGGTCCTGCGGCATGTGCTGTTTTCTTGCCGCCAGAGCACTTATCATACACTGCGAATCTGTTTTTGTGCCTTTGCCTCCTCTATCAGATCGTGAGCATCTAGCAAAGGAGGCCCTCAGGGCTTGTAGAAGGAATTAATAAATGTTTCCACCGTCTAAAACAGAATTCCCTATTCTCATCTTGAAAGAGATCCCAGAGATTTCATAACTTCCCTCAGCCACTCGTTTACTTTATCAACTTGGCAATAGAGATTTTCTTATCTATTAATCAACAAAGAAGTGTATTTATTATATACTTTATGTCTTGACGACATCTCTTTGCTTTTATTTGAATTTATTTGCTCTTGCCAAAGCTATCACAGAAGTGCTACAAGTGTCCCTACACAGGACAGCCATTTAAAGGACTGCAATTTGCTGAAAGCAGGCAGTGTGTTACAAAGATAAATCAGACTGTTACTACTTAAAAACCTTTAGCAAGAAATCCTTTAGCCTTTTGGGGACTAAAACCTCTGGTTACTTTCTCTTTTGCTAGAAGGGTATATAACTTTCTGTTGCTTGTATATCGGAGCTCTTCACAATTACCCAAAATCTTTGTTCAAATGTGACTCAGATTGGACATAATAATGAGTCTGACTAATGCAAGTCTTATTTTCTTACCCTTTCATGTCATACTCCTTTGAATGCACTCAAGAATCATGTCTATGTTTTTCCACAACCGCATTACAGTACTGACTTAAATTTAGGTGACGGCCTATAAGGGCCACATTTTCTTTTTAATGGCGTTTTTTTGTGTGCTCAGCTAAACTACCTTACATTCATCCCCACCCAGCAACCACAGAGAATGACTTCTTTCCGACTTGGATGGCTCCTCTTTTAAATTCTAGAGTTTGCTGGGAAGCTAGGGAATGGCAGAGTCATGGTGAGTGAGGTCTTGCTCTTGCCGGGCCCGTAAGCGGGGCCCGCGGATGAGCCCCACTGTGGCTGCAGAAGCGCCGAAAATGCGGGCAAGTGTTTGTGTATGAGTGTGGGAGGAGGATTCGTGGCGTCCATCACAATCTCAAAGGGGTCCAACACCCTGGAAAGGGTAAGAGCCCCACCCTAAGGCACTCAGACATAAAGCAGTAAATTGGATAAACAGCGCCAGCATGACCGAATCAACTCTCTCCTCATCCATCTCCAAAGGGAATATGCGCAACTCTGATAATTATGCGCTAAGCATCTGTTGCATGAGTGAAGAACCGGCCTTGAGGGTGTGGCCTGGTGGGCCCATCACGTATGAAATTATACACAGGCCATAATCTAACGCTTCAAGCACCCTCAGCTTCTGCCTTTATCCAAGTACAGGGTACTTACTTTGTCCTCTTTTGATACCTCTAGCTGATTCAATAAAACTTACTTTAAAACCAAAACATCAAGAATCAAAAGTTTCTCTGCACATAAATATTATGTTAGTAGCCAAAAATACATGCCTTTCATGAACTGTTAGTAATTATATTATTTTTGCTAGAATATACTGCTACCTTCCATACTTGTGTTTTAAATAACATTACCAAAAAAATCACTTAACTATGTCAAAATCGAAACTGCCTTCGTGTCATTAAGTTGCAAAAATCTATTCTGTCAAAATATATCTTAAATCTTAACTTTCATTGCTGTCTACGGGTTATGCTATCTTATTTATAACTATCACCGCACCTAGTGTATTTTCTACAGGTCAACATAAAACGTAGCATAAACGTGCCAGGAAAAAATGCTCTTTAAAGCGTTTACTTGGATTAAATGCCCTTCAGAAACTGAGAAGCAAACACTAGTAAAAATCAGAAACTGCTGTCATCCATACTCACCACTGAACAGCCATACAAAGGGTCTCCCAGCACAGGCTAGACCTGTCCTGGAAGCAAGGGACTGAATTCCATCAGGAGAACAAGCAAGTAGAAACAGCAAGGGGCAACACTACCTTTCTCCAGCTCATCTTATTTGCAGACACACAGACTTTGGAATCCTCCAGGACTAACAATGAAAACCACACTAGGTTGTTTTCCCCAATTCCTATGAAATGAGTCAGTAGGTCAAACAACTTCTCCGCTCAGGAGACAGAACAATTTCTGAAGCTGCACTCACTGTTTCCAGGAACTGGATTCCCTCTCTTTGCCCCCTCGATAAAAGTGCTGCCAATAATCCATGGAAAGCCCACCGGGTTCTGGGTGAGACACATCGCAGATACTGCCAGAAGGTTAGTCTTTTTCATGGGGTAGTTTCCCCTTGTGAATAGTCAGGAGGACAAAAATCCAGTTAGGAGTAACACGTGGATGAAATTTCTTCACTTAAAAAGAGTTGGCGTAACTTTTTCTCTGTTGAAACCGTGTAGTCATTTCTTTCTTTCACACAAGAAGATGGAGTGATACTTAAAATACAGAAGAGAAGTAACTGCATCTCTAAGAGCCCCCCACAAACTGCTTCCTTCTGTAAAACATCTTTTCTCCCTCCAAAGGACTAGTATATTCAAAAGATTCAATGATTATGCAATTAACCCATGCTCTGAAAAACCTTTCACAGGCTTCCATGAGTCCGGCAGCTCCATCCATTAAATCATACAAAGCAGAAGTATTTAAGAGCTTGCTAGCAGTCCTCTGAATCCATGACTCAAGAGGATGAGCACGGGGTTAGCAATAATCTTCGGAATCTACCACCTACTCACCGCACGTAACATTTCTTGTAGTTAGCGACCTTCTGCGTAGGAAATCACCAGCTACCGGCAATGAATCCGTAATTCCAAGGACTCACACGTTCAGGCAAGGATATGGATGTGTATCTCTAAATACAAGTACAGAGATCTTCTGTGACAGTGCGTCAGGAGGAGACTGGAAATACTTTTGCTTTCTGTATTGAGAGTACTTTCTTTCCTTTTAAAGAGGAAGTTTCGTTTTGATCTTGAGAAATTCTCTCTGATAAAACCACCAACTGAAAACCTGCCATTATGAACGAGGGATTTCACAACCTTCATTCCAAAACACTGTGGCTATTCATTTCTGGAAGTGATTCATTGCAAAAGAATCGTCTTTGGCGGCGGAGGGAGCACTAATTTTTAGAAGACAGCCCGCCCTCTGAGAAGTGAGCAGAAACCTCAGAAACGGCGGCAGCCACGTGCCTCGCTGACCCCCCGTCACAGCTCCCTGAATCACCATCCACCAAGATGACGCGCGATGACCAATTTCCTCTTCTAACTCCCTCAGTACACAAAAACCCTTTGGTCTGTACACCCTGAATATTCCCGGGCTCTGGCAGAAAGGTTCAAATAAATCTGGGAGGAGGGCAGCAGCACTGTCAACCTGTCAACGCTCAGTTGCTGGCGAGTAACCAGCATACGGATACTCACTTCCTGTGAGTACTTCTAAAAGAGCTTATGATATTTCCTTTGGAAAAAAAAAAAAGTGGGGAGGAAAGCAATACAGGGAGGAGAAGTAACTCCAACGAGCATTCAAAGCTAAAAGCATGCAACGCGATCGCTGTTTACCAGCCACGCCTAATTTTAATTTGGTTTTTCAACCCCTGTGTAATTAAGACAGCCAAGAGAGAACAGCATCAGGAGAAAGAAAAAAAAAAGACATTTCACAAACGCTTAGACCTTCAGTGCGCGTGACCAGAAAAGTAATTTTAAGATTCAAGTGAACCAATCTGAAGCTGTTTAGAACATTAACCCTTCAAGGAAAAAGAGCTATTTTCGTTTGTCCCTACATTTCAAATATGGAAATCACCTTCCCCACTGGGTGCTGAGACACTGAAGACACAGCCTCTGAGTGCCATCCCCGGGGTTTGGGAGAAGAGGGAACATTTTCAGATTTGTCTGTGATGGGGGCAGAAAAACACCTATTTCTAACACCCCCTCACATTAACAGTGACCACGTGATTTTCGCACCAAAGCACCCCTTGAAAACTGACCACGAAGGGCTAAGATGTGACCTTCTGTATTTCTCTTGGCTTTAACCAAACCTGATCACTTAGAGAAGAGTAGAATTTCTTGATAACTGGGCAAACTAAGAAAAATTCCTTTTATCCCATCTTAAGGAGCATCAGCGTGACACAGCTCATTTTCTGAAGAGACTTGTAGACATTTTGCTAAATGAGGAGCTTAAAAAAAAAACCTGTCCTTTATTTTCAGGCTGTTTATGTGCTTCTATCTTGGGTGGGAATGGTGGGGTACGGGAGCAGAGGAGTTCATGCAGGCAGAAAGAGAAAAACACGAGCTTCCACTTAATGGGACTGAAGAATAAAAACAAACAGATCCAATGTGTTCACGTTATTTGTTACATGGCACCGCTCAGCCCTCAATTTCTAATGTGGTGATACCTTCTACCCCAGCTCCTGTATTTCTCATTTTTGAACACTCAAGATAAACATAAAGAATACATGTGAAAAATTTTAATAAAACCGTCTGCGTTTTATACTCTGGAAGGAAATTTTCACGAATGTGAAATGTTTTCACAATTTTACCAAAACTGATACTTTAAAAAGAAGAGTATGGAAACCATATGCACGGTGTGAATATAACCTTCAAATTGAGGATGAGTAAAAAACAGCACCAATAAATGTCCTTAAGGATTTGATTCAAACCAACAATACTACACAACAGTCATCCCTCTGGCCTCACTCCCAAGACCTCATCATGAACTTGCTCAATGTAAAGAGGACCTCTCTGTATGATGTCTAAAGAACAGGAACCCTAGAGGGAGTGCAGTTTTAAATATCTACAGCTTAAAAAACTCCTATTGAGGGCTTCCCTGGTGGCGCAGTGGTTGAGAGTCCGCCTGCTGATGCAGGGGACGCGGGTTCGTGCCCCGGTCTGGGAAGATCCCACATGCCGCGGAGCGGCTGCGCCCGTGAGCCATGGCTGCTGAGCCTGCGCGTCCGGAGCCTGTGCTCCGCAACGGGAGAGGCCACAACAGTGAGAGGCCCGCGTACCGCAAAAAAAAAACAACAAAAAACAAACAAAAAAAAACTCCTATTGATACTGAGCTTGGTGAATGATTAGAGGCCAGACACTTCCTCAAATGTTAGAATATCTAATTTCCCCTCCCACTGTGTCACGTTCATACACATGCTCCAAGTTCTCAAAGCTTCTGTGCAGTTTGTTCCTGTTTCAGACTGTGCCTTATGAAAGTTCCTCTTAAGTCCTGGGTGGCCAATGCAGAGGTTTCAAAAAGAGAAAGGAAAAGTAGAACAAAACAGAATAAAGATCATAAAAATACATGCGGGGACAGTATGGAGAATATGAACCCAACCCACGTGGCTGCTGCCGAGAAGCTGTTGCCCTCTAGGAACTCCTGTAAGTGGGGGAGGCTGAGGGGACTATTTCTAAAGGTGGGTATTCAGAATGTGATTAAGCTACAGGAACTGTCCAGGTCCTGCTCTAATTTGCTACGCTGTGGACATCCTGCAAGTCCAAGTTCACAGAATCAGTGTTTGCTCTCCAGACCTCTGGGCCCATTGTCCCCCCATCCCCCCCAAACAAAACAAAACCCTGTCACAAATGTTCTTCACAGCTAACGTTTGCTCAAAGTTTCCTTTTAAACAACGGAAAGGAGTGCACTCTTTAGTGGCCCTTTTATAGAAACGTTGGGGTGTGGCCTCACACAGGAAGGGCACCAGACCCAACGCGGGAAGTCAGGAGGCCTCGCGTGGGGTTCCGCCTCTTTCCCCCGGTGATGCTTTGCTCTGGTCCAGATCACCCAGCCTCTTTCAGCCAGTTTGTCCATGGTGACAGCAACCTGACTACAAGGGCCGGTTTAGGCACCTCCACGGATCTACTCATTCGATCCTCACAGCAACCCTACAAGCTCAGTTCTTTTGATTATTCCCATCCTACAGATAAGGACACAGCCTCAGGGGCTTTACGGGTTTGACCACGGTCACACAGTCGGCAGGTGGTGGAGCCAGGGTTCAGAGCCAGGGAGCCTCACCTTGATCACTCTGCTCGGAGCCTTCCATCAGCACGCCCGCCCGCCACGCCAGGCTGTGGTGCGTGTTAAGTAAAGCCGCCCTGAAAACTACTACTCGAGGCAGATTTTTACTCGTGTCACATGCAAATGTATTCTCCGCAGAGCTGAAAGAAAACCAATGACAGCTAAGTACTGCTAACTCTAACACATCCGTGTGTTCTCTGAGAACAGCTTCATATAATTTGCAAACTACCTCTTTGCAAAATTTGTGACACTGAGTTTTGGAGGCAGAAGGGATCTAGAGATCCCTTCAATCAGAGTGGTGGAGTGAGGATCCCCGGCGCAGGGGCAAGGTTTGCCCCTCCACCACAAGGTGCTGCACCACTGCCTCACAGCCGCCCGGAACTGGGAAGCACTTCTTGAGTACTACTTTGATCTGTCAGGCATTCATTCACTCATGTGACGCATGCAGGTGTAACATCAGTCCTCAGAAATGTGTCAGACATTTTCTTCTCACTACAAGCTCCTCAGGCTTTAAGAAGAAAAGAGAAAGATGAGGGAAATCAAGCTTTACGTCCTATTTTTTCTTCTTCTTTTTTTAAGTCAGGGAAACACAAAGCCTCTATCAAAGTTCTCCTATGATGAACATAACTGAAGTTCTATCCAATTCTTTCTTTTCTTTGTAAACTTGCTCATATGCAGACCTGATATTAAACAAACTATCTTTCCCATGTGCTTATGGAACGTGGAAACCAGAGGAACTGGAAGCTGGGGCCTCCTTGGCTTCGATGGTGACTGATAATTTGGTCATTTACTTTTGAAGGAAAAGTAATTTCCTACTTAGGGTATTCAAACTTTTCACGCTATTTATTCTATAACGTTTGGCCTTATTATATTCACGCAGAGTTTTTTTAATGGTTCCGTGTCATATTGGGTCACAACGAAATACCCGAAAATACCTCATCCTAAAACAAAGACATCTGTTGACAAGAAAAGTTAAGAAGAGAAAGAAATAAGACCACATTCTGGTTTTGTTTCCCCTTCAGAGAGCAAAGATTCTGGGAAATTTATGTACGTTAAATTTATAAGCGGGCACTTTTCCCCCCAAAGATTTATTTGGCATGAAAAGTCACTTCCTGTAATCATAAAATCAAATGTTATTTACTCCTGTCATAACCATTCACATACTTCCTGTCATAAAAACTTGAACTTGGCTGGAATATTAAATAAAACATGCAAAAAACTACAGGTAGGAAGTGACTGTATAAATATATATTATGCTAAGTTCATAGTCCAATCTAAGAAAGGGACGAATCACCTCTTCTTGGAAAAACTAGTATTATACTTTATCATCTTGGCTGGCTAATCCCACAGAATGAACTTGGAGGGTAGAAAGCTTTCTCTATTTGCTGAGCTCAATCAATAGTTTTAAGGTGGCTTCAGGATGCCTCCCAGGGGTACCGTATGGTACCGTATGTGCATCGGGCTGCAATGTTCTTGAGGAGTTCATGGCCCAGAGTTAGAATCGTGAAGAGTCAAAAACTTACACTGGGTAGATGCGCACATTTTAAATGCATGCCCACATTTTTCTTTGATGGCTGCATATTTCTAAAAGAAAACAAGCTTCTAAATTCCTAGGCTTCCGTGTGTCTGGTGGGAAAAGCAGAGCCAGTGTACACATACAATGATAGAAGAAAGTGTGTGTGAGCAGATTTGTTTACAAAACAGGGCCCAGCAAAGTCTGTTTCTCCATGCCACAGCAGGATCCATCCAACAAAACAAACACACAGACACAGAAGAATCTATGAGAATAGCTCTTCTTTCTGATGAAGGTATAACCGTTTGTAATTATAACTGAGCCGTAAGTTATAATGTGGCTTAGTCCTGAATTGGGAATATGTCAGAAAATCCAGTTTAACACACGCATGCGCGCGCACGCACACAGAGGTGTGTATACTTCTCTACAGCACAGTGGTTTCAACGGTCCTTCTTTGGCATCAGAACCTCAAATTTATTTCTTCACACAGGCGTCTTCTCCTACCTTCAATCCTACATACTTCCATCTGGACAGGGTGGTCCTTTCAAACTCATCAGGAAACAACAAAACCAACAACGTCTATTTGTCTTAGCTTAATTAACTGTACGGCCACAGGACCAGGCTTGAGAGCTTGGACCCTGACCCTTCTTCAGGGAGCAGAGCTGAGCCAGTCGGTCGCCAAGTCTAATCAGCGCTTGTTTCCAGTGACTGCTGCCTTTGTCCTCTCCCGCCCATTCCCGATTCAAAAAGACATGTCGGACCTTTATCACTTTGTTCCTGGACAACTGTGACAGCCTTTTTCATTGTGCACTTGCCAAAGAGCAACTGCGTGGCAGAAGAACACAGTAAAGAGTAGGAAGATTGGGTTCTGGGTTTGCCTCTGCCGGATGCAAACCATGTGGTCCTGAGAAAGGTATGTGGTTTCCTTGGAACTTGGTGTTGTCACCTACAGCATGAAGAGAATGGTTATCGAACGATATGATCTAATCTGGGACATGCACAGTCACCAAATATGACCTTCTGAAACTTCGTTTCCTCAGGTAAATGCACACCTTAAAAATGTTCAGTGACTTGGCTAAAGTTTTAAGTTCTTCAGCCTGAACTGAACGTGAAAGCCTCATAAAGCGTACGGCACCACACAACTGCAACAGTGACCCTAACAGGGATCATTTCTTGAGCTACATGCACTATGCATTACCCAGGAATTTTGTATATGTGGGCTCTAATCCCCATGACCACTCCACAAGGTTGGTTTTATGACTCTACATTACACACCAAGGATCTGAGGTTCTGCGAATAACTCACCCAAGGTTATAAAATCTATTAAGTGCCAGGAATGGCATACAAATCTACATGTGGTTGATTATAAAGCCCACTAAGCCATACTGAGTGCTTTAAGTGTACCATGTAACTACTTGAATGGTCATTCTCTGAGTCCCTGTAGTTACCAGGATGCAAAAGGAAGCACCGATCGTCAGAATATAAACAACGACAAGGTGATCACTTAGTGTTAACGTCAGTATCTATTGCTGCTCACTTTCTCGGCTGCTCAGTACTGCAGAATAAAAATGCAAATACAATGTAGTTCACTTGTAACAGAAACTGCAGTTTTACACATAGCTGATAAAAGTGATGCTGGGGAACTGCCTGAGTCACACACCGTCACTGACAAATAAGGATCAAAGGGAGTTTGAACAGTTAACAACTGAGGAAGCAAAAGTCAACAGATATGATTACACGAGAGGTAGGCTCTTCAAGAGAATGGCTTGTGTATCAAAAGATTAAGCGAGGTCCTTGGGGAAATTAAATGCTTCTAACAAAAATCACCCTCTTTATGATTCTGCCACAGAAGTGAACCATCTTTGGTCTAAGAAATAGCCTATTGTTTCATCATAGTCCAAATTTCTGTTGTATAATGTAAAACAAACTGAGATTCAACTTTCCTTAAACTTTTCAAGACTTAACCCCAATAAAATCTTTTTTTAAATTTTACTGTTTAAAATATCTGATTCAGTTTTAAGTCAATTCTCTAAAAGTAACAGTTGTCTCGGAGCGGTTATCTTCAGATAACAAGGACCTCTTGAAATGGGAGTAACAGAAAAAGGAAGAATAAAAGAATGACTGATATGCACAAAGTAGCGAACAATAAGAGAACTAATTCTCCAGCCCACAAATGGGAAGTAATGCCCTAGGTTTCCTCTCATTTCAAGATTCTCAGGCTTACCCAGCCCAAAGCACCCAAAAAGAAGACCTGCTCATCAGCTCCATGCCCTGGTCCCACCACTGTATCTATGGTGGCATAGATACGGCATTCATATGGCATCAGGCTAGCCTCTGGGCAAGTCTGATTGTCTAGGCAAAACTAGACCGCAGTCTGGTAAACTGTGTAAATTCTAACTTTACAAGATCCACTCCACCTATTCTATCTTTATCTAGTTACCTGAAGGTCTCTACTTTTTTCCCCAGAAGACAAGAGTTTATAAACTGAAAGAATTTTGTCTTATGATAATTCAAGTTATAAAGGCCTCAACGTGTATCAAGATCCCGCCTGACACGTGTATATACACCTCTGTATAAAATTAATGGTTTTGGTTTCTGCAAATATCCTTCAATCAAGCGTTCAGAGAAGGGTTGTTTTGAGAAAGATTTAATGGGATTTGTAACATAAAACCTCAAAAGCGTATTATTGACTTAACCAAGACAATGCTGGAATACAAGATGTGATTGCTGTGCTTTTTCTCGTAACTGTCATGTCCGCCTCCAAGAATCTAATAAAATAATGTTGTCTCTGATGCCACAGAAACCCAAGAAGGCACGCCCTAGGGAGACTGAGTCTTAAGTCGGTGAATTCTGAGGCATGTAAGTAAGCGATCAGAACGTTATTAGTGAGCTTTTGGCCTTGCAAGATTGTTGTCTGCTGTAGGGATCTTGGCTTGTTACTAAACAGAGAGCGGTTTTGTGATACTTTGAAATAGCTCCTTCTCTCTGAAAAGCAAGAGGTGTTACCCTTCATAAGGAAAAATCCAGAGCCTGCGATCTACACCTTATAGTAGAGATTCTTTTTCATATACACGCAGAGGCTATACAAGCACAAAAATGCACCGTGAGAAGTTAATATGTAAGTAAATACAAGAGCTTTCTAGAATTCAGAAATCTGAAATTGGGGAACAGGGTGAGCAGAAGTGGGATGGGAAGAACGAGTGGCAGTTCAGCGGTTTTGAACTTCTGACTGTGATTCCGGAAGATTTTTAACACAACACTGGTTTTCCAAAAAGGGTTTTGTAGCACTGACCCCAAAGGCCAAAGGCAGCACGTAATGTCGCTGTTGCAGTGTACGTTAATGAAGGCCGTTGTGAACGATATGCTCTCTTTTAAGACTACACAGAAGCTGCATATGCAAGCAGATAATGCAGAGCAATGCTGCAGCTCCATTTACAGTCCTCGGGCGCAGTGAAGCCTGGGCTTCAGAAGCTCAGGGTGGAATGCTTGCTTTGGAGAGCATTCAACGGAGAGCATTTGGTTTCCTCCATTTAACCAGGTCACCCAGGCATGGAATGCACAGCTCTGCCAGACAGACAGCGTTGTGGATGCCTGAGAAACAACGGCTTGTCCAGGCTACTGATGCGA